GGCCGATGAAAACATCGAAACACGTGTTCCCAAATCCATTCACGTCTGATTGGCACTGTCTCCCTAACCTCCTCCACGCGCGGTATCGATTGAGCGTGCAGCTTGCACAGACGATACCGAGTGCACCCTGCCTTAAGTATGCTGTTCTGTGAACCAGGTGTGCGAGGTGCCCCACTTCACAAACCCTTCGGCTTGCGGTGAGCAGGGCGATGTCAATATCTACGCGAGACGAACATATTTCTGGGTAGCCTCTGCTGGATTCGCAATGTTGTTTTGAAGCGTAGACGGCAAGACCGGATTGAGTGACGGTCACTACCGTATTCAGCTATTTACAGGTGTGGGCACTGTCTTGTCAACGTGAAACTGCGACGTACTGCTGGATTCCGATTGCGTGAAAAGCTTAGCCTTATGGGGACGGCCATACCTCCACCGTTTTACCGGAGGTCAACCCGCAAAGACGTCAGGGTGCCGCAACATAGAGATTCAGTCGTTGGTCCTGTGGCGATTTCATGGGGGTTCGGGTTTGACTCAGGGTCATCCCCCTGACAGGTTCGGGTATCCTATTCCCCGCTTGAGACTCGCAGCCATCAGCAACGTTTCGCACTACCCGACACCGGTTGGAACCCCGACGTACTGCAGGTGACCCCCACATGACCGGCTTCCGCGGCCAGAAGTTCGACTTCACGGGCAGCGACGGTCAGTGGTACTGCCTTATCTCAGACCTGCCGTCCATGCACCTTAACATGCGTGTGACGGCGCCCGTCTCTTCCCGGCCGGACATCACGTACATCATCGGGCTCTCCCTCATCACCACCGATGGAAACGGTCTAGAGCATAGCGTTGTCATTTCCGTTAAGGACCCACACAGCCTGGATAGTGACTGCCCGGCCGGAGTGTCCCCCTGCCTTGCGGATGTTGAGCGTGGTGCTCGTTGGAAACGAGACCCTGATGGCACCCGGTGCGGTTGAGCTGGCCCCCGATGTTCAGGTGTCTGCTGTCAACCTTCCCGGTGCCTGCCGATCGTTCGGGTTCGAGAAGTACTGGGAACGGAAGAAGCTCGAGTATGCGCAGGCTGGCGGCCGCAGGCTGCCCGTACAGCAGTCGATGGGGGAATAGATACTGGGGGACCCCACCGCGACCAACATGGCGGAGTGCACGGAGTGTGTGGCCCGTCACATGGCAGGGGGCGAGGACGGTGACTTGTTCGCTCATCAATCCGAGCATGCGTCTTTCCAGATTGTCACAACTACGGCCATTATCCGACTCAATCTCGGAAGACTCCACCAGATCGCGGAGCTCGGCGTACCGGAACCTTTGACTTGGCAGATGAACCTGGCTTTCGATCACAACGACGTGAGCCTGACCGCCAAGGGGGTCCTGGGAGAGACGATGGTCCCCACCCGTACAACTAGCGGGGCGTACATCATGCATGGCATGGAGGCCGTTCGCGGGACCCAGGAAGATTGTGAGTCGACGCACAATATGTATATATCGGCACCGGTAGTCAGTGGTTGTGAACCGGAAAATGTTTTTGGCAATAAGCGCGCACAAATGCTCATGCCGACTATTCGGAAGTACGCTGCAATAGTTGGTTCGAAACAACATTAGGACATCGACATGATCTCAGTCTGGTATCGGCCGACATCTCTCTTCGGTTGCAGTCACCATCCGGCCATTTGTTTTTTGTCTAACACGATCGCCGTGTCCGCAGACGCGAAACGCCTGAGTGCATTGTACCCACACGTGATGAAGCGAGTAACCCACTCCAATCTCGCTCGAATCACGTCCTGGCGTGACCGCCCAACTGTCGACCCACAGACCACGTGGAAGGCCCCCTGGGAATGGATTTCGTCTTGAGCGGAGACCCCTAGAGCCCACTTCGAGACACACCGAGCAGGGCAGAACGCCTCCGTCGTATCGGTGTTTTTACTCGGCACGAGGTCATCGACTCGACATCGAGATAGTTCGCTGTAGTACCGTGAGGATATGAGAGGTGGCACCCCCCCTAGGCCATTTTCCAAGTCGACTTCTCCACAGCCAAGCTTGTACTAATACCAACAATGGTAGGTTGGTCTTGTCGAGGGTATCTTGTCGAGGGTTTCCGTAGACGTGTCGGGCGCTCTCTGCACCCACTTGTTCGAGAAGCAATCGGTCTTTTGAAAGTCGGTCTAGGGAGGAGGCGCCATCTTTGCCATCCGAACGGTGGTGGTGCTTGCGAAGGGCATCATTGATGTACGAGCCTAGACCGCGGAGACAACTTGTCGCGCGACTTATCTTCTGGATATAGGAGCTTCTTCGGGCAAACTGTCCCGAATTATCGCGTCCATGTAGTGAGGCTAAGGAGATGAAGGTTCTTGTCTACTGTTTCCTTGGTAAACGTCATCAGGGGAACGCGATACCAACCTGATTCCCGGCGGCGACATCATCGAGAAATTGCGACCTTCGTCCACTTTTCGGGCACCGGTAGGTCCGACTCCGCAGAGCAGCAGAACCTTTGTTGTTTCTTTCTGTTTCTCAACGACTTTCATGTGCGTTGTCAACCTGGCCTCGTTTTGAGACATGTTGTACGTGGGAGGCCGGAGGTTTGCGGCAGTTGCACCGTGCGTGGGAAAGGACGTCGGCACCGATATTTTTTGTGCTATTCTCAGTAGTTGAGACAACGTCTTGCGGAGCGGTGAGATGGTCTCGAGTGAGCGTGTCACAAGAACACTCCCCAAAGTAGAGGGCCATCACGGAGTAATCGGCCGCAAAGGTGTCTATAGTCAATGTCAGTCATGGGCCGTACAAGATTTGCTGCAGTTTAACAATACAACGGCCCGCACCATGTGTCTTTTGCCCCTAGATGTCAAGATCATGGCTCCCTCCCGCCGTGCAGGTGCCGAGGAAACCGAAAGAGGAGCAAGAAAAATCCCTATTTTGTCCTGGTGCCCTTTTCAGGTTCCGTGTTAGACTATCAACCTGTTTTGCGCTTGCAGAGCTATCACGAAGTACGACTGTTGTTGTTGTTGTTGTCTTCACATTGTAACAGGTTCGTAGCAAGGCAGGAAAGTTGAGTGGGGCACCCGCTGGGAAAGAAAGTCGGGTTCAGCCCGTCAGTCTGGAAAGATTTATATGGTATATTTTGGGTGTTCTATTCAGAAGATAGATACATATAGTACATACAAATCACAGAGAAACTTCCTGTTCTTCTGCGACAGCAAAGATGGTTCAATGGTGAAGTCGGAAGCGCTGCAAGTAGGAACACCGCAACGTTTACCGCCCCCCCGTCGCGGGAGTTCGGCGGCCTTTTGTGGCCAATTGGAACCCTTTGTTATATTTGTGTTCAGTTGGTATCCAGGTGTAAATTGGGGAAAACGTAGCCCCGCAACTAGAAGAAGAAGACGATTGACACACTTGTACAGTGCAGAGCGATAGTGCGGTCAACAGTTCCAACAAATTGTAAAAATGGAAACAATCATCGTGGTCCATTCACGAGATTCCTCATGAAGTTCTCATGATAAATTTCCTGCCAATTCAGATGGTCGTGAGCGTCGCATGAGAAGAAGGCTGCCCAAGGAAGAGGCTGGCGGGGGCATTTCTCTCTCCTTCTTCGCCCGAGTGACTGCACGTTTTGAGGTCTCATGCCCTTGGCTGTTCCGTTAGCTTCAGGCCGTTCTATTCTATGCGGAGGTTCATGAGGCCTTGGTTCATTTCCCGTGCTTCCACCCATTCTGATTCCCTGGTTTCTCGCCCTCCCTGGAGGTTTGTGGGCCTTGGTCCGGATCCGTAGGCTTCCGCCCGCTCTTGGGTTTGGCATGGCGATATTATTTGGACCTTCGTTAGATTCCTTCGCGCTCGCCCCTTGTGGTTCAGATCCCTCCTTCAAAGTGTGCCCAGCACAAGTCCCGTCGAAGAAAATCGCGATCGAACATATTCCAATAATATATGGAACGGGAACTACAGTATAGTCTAAGGAACAGCATGGATAAAATTCTGACGAAGGCGGTAACAGGCGTCGACTTCAGGAACAATTGGGATTTTCTCCTGTATCTGCACGGGTGGCTTGGTTTTCGCGCTGCCATTTTACGTCACACAGGGAGGTCAAGGAGAGTTGATTCTGTATTTGTTCTTTAACACTGATTTTTGTTGCGTGTTTTACAGGTTCGAAGCAGTCGAATAAAGAACGAAAAGAACGAACACGCTCGAGCGTCTGAGTTATTCATTCGCGTGACCATGCCTTGGCAAATCGATCATCTCATACACACACGTCGATTCATACTTACACTGGACCGACAGCGGAACGGACAACAACAACACACCACAACACACAGTGTGCCACCCTATGCATATTAGGTTGACCGCCCTCATCTCGTTCATCAGGAAGTAGAACTCGTATTTAACAGCAGCAGTGATTTGGCCTGGGGACGCTGGAACAAGAGTGAATGTGCCGTGGTGTGGCGTATATGTGACAAGACGACCATGGGTTTGAGAGGCAAGGAACGGACATCGCAAACCATACCCCTCGGCATATGGAGTGGGTGCTCCATATTAGGGTACCCTCATATAAAGGGATAATCGGGAAATCTCGAACGACAAAGGCACTTTGGCTACGGCACAGCGTACCAGCATGTAGTCTATGTGTGGTGGACTATAAAGCACATCTTGTGGTGGGCTGATTGGCCGAATTCACACGCCCAAAGCAAGCCGGGGGATTGTGATCGTATCGTGACGCTGTCCGTTTTGCATTTACTTCGTTCTTGGAGTGGGAACATCTGCAGAGAACATTTGCCTCGCAGCCAAGTTGACGCAGCCATTGATACTACTAGGATGTAAAGTACATTTATCATGCGTGCATTTTAAACGTAGAGTCTACAGGTCGAACAACACGATATTGTACAATTCCTCGACACCTCTCCGATCATGAGAAACTGCCTTCATGTACACAGGCTACAAGGTCGGAAGTGTTGCTGTATGTAGTTCCATCTCCTGCCCGGTACGCACGTCCGCGGGCTGTTATACTTGAAAGTTTGGGACCCCTTTTTCATTCAGTCAGCTATACCTTGGAACACTTCCAACCTCGAAGCCTGCGCCATCATCCTGCGTCTCGGTCTTGCAAAAAGCGGCAGCCAATCCCAACGCGCTGTTCGCGCTCTGTATCGGTACAAAGAAAAAAAGCATCATGCCACTGGGGGTCGTCGCTGAACAATCCCGTTGAAACAAAACTCGAAAAAAAAAAACTACAGGCACGTACCATTCGACAATGCAACCTTAACACTGGTTCTGGTGAGGAGGGAAAATCTTATTTGCGACCGCTACGCACCAACCACCGCGGTGCTCGAGCGTAGCGCATACTCCTACGGTGCTGTGTACGACGACAGCAACGGCACCAGAGCGCAACAGCACCTGCCCACCCTGTGCTCCTAGCTCTCTGAAGCCTTCCTCAGCACCGACTGCATCAACGGCGCTCAACGAATCTTTTGTGCGATGTGGACACCCTCCTTTTCTGTGTGCCGAAAGTTGCTCGAAACCGGTACACAACCCAAACTTTGTGCAAGAAAATACCACGATAGAATAATCATTTCTTGGCCTTCGCTAGCGCGTTGTTGTACAGCTTGTTCTGGGCCTCCCACTCCTTCTTGACCTTCTGTTCTCGTGGCACCAAGCAACAATACACAGGCACGACGGTTTGGCGGGAAAAAATATATACATAGGGGGGGGGTGCCGGCAGGAGGAGCATGTGAGCAATGGGCAACTACATTCATTCCTTGTGAAGATCTGCGTACGAGCGTGTGCAACAACACAAACCGAAACTATACCGCGTCGCCCCCTAGACGAGCTCTTCGAAACTGATCTGCTGGGCAACATGCGACGATATTGCACGCGTCGGCAGGCGTTGCCTATTTTGCACTAATTGCCACGCGAACCAACACAGTGGGTGAAGAGAAGAAGAGCCTCTCGTGGGGGAACGGCGATACAAACAGCTTTTCCGCGCCGGGGCTGCAAGCCGTGATAAGAAAAACAGTCGGCCTGACAGCTGCCCGCAACCTCTTCCTGAGTAGCAAGAGCTCGAGAAACTCCAAAAAAAAAGCAACCGATGGCTGTACGCGGCGGATGGATTCGGGCATTTCGTCAAAAGAAGAGCGTTCTTTCTTGCCTTGTCCTTGACGATCGGTTCGCCGGCAGCGTCGTGCGTGGGAACGCCGTTGTCGTCGAACTGGGTGTACAACGCCTTCCCGTCTTCGCCCTGGGCGGACGAACGAGAGGCACCACCCGAGCACAAGACGACAAGCAAAAAAAAACAGGAGGGGAGTCGCGTAAAACAACACAAAAAAAATGCGCGCGCACAGACAACAGCCCTTTTCATAGAGAGCCATCGAGATACAGACCTCGCTCGCCCTCGGATGATGGCTTTTCGATCAATCCATTATATTAACTTCGCTCGACTCGTCAGCCCATACCGATCGGGGAGAGCTACGCGGACGAATTGCGCCACGTTCGAATGCGGCCGAATCTTAGCCGTGCTTTTCTGCTGATGAACTCTACCCGACATACCGCCAACTTGCGTTTCGTCTCTCGAAAACAACGCCCGTCCAACCACCAGAAAACCGGCCTGTAGGCGCGTGAGGGTCATCGGGTTGCCACAACACACCCGGGCCGCAACTACACGAGTCTCGTGGATATGTGTTACAGAGGTTAAGTCGCGACGCGAGAGGTACACACTGCGAACATAAAAAAACGGGGGCGTGAGAAATGATACCGTATCTCAAAAGCCTGCAAAAACAACAATCGGCACTTGGGGGGGCTACAACGAGGGTGCGATGAGAACCAGCGCATGATTATCGCTTCGCGTCCAGGTTATCAGAGAGACCGACGCTAACAGGCACTGGGCAGTCCGAGGTGCCCTCTCCCTTCTTCGTCTACAATGCCACACTGCACCTTCAATCCCCGGAAGTATTCGCTGGCGGGGATCTTTTTCCTTGCCTCCTTCTCTGCCGCCTTCCTCTTCGTCTCTGCCTTCGCCTCCAAGCGGCGCAACTGATGTCGTTTCAGTAAATACCATGAATTCACAAAAGACAACAAGAAGGAGCGAATGAAAGGCGGTGGCTTTGCTGGGGGGCGGGCGGTGACCTGATGGGTGAGACGGTCGGAAGCATCTATGTCGTGTGTTCGCCAAAATTAGGACACTTCCAACCAAAGGTGCCAGAAACAAACGCGCAACCATTGAGTTCAACGGGGCAGTATCGACACAAAGGTGGTGGAGCTGCGCCCTATTGCCGCCTCCGTGGTCACGACAACACGAACAAAAAAACGCCGCGACGGTCATCTTAAGTGGAACACAATTCCGCGCGCCGACAGTCGCACACTCTTTGTTGGCTTTGAAGAATTAGTGCACAAGAGCTATGCTTGGGTTTGGTATGCATGCTCGAGAAGGGCTTCCGAACAGCTGGGCACGTTCCGCTCTCGTGCCTCGACCGACTTGGCACGTCGCAGAGCAAACATGACTTGACCGACGTGACCCACTGCCGGCAAAGACGTAAGTGTTCAAGAAAAAAACAAACCGGGAGACCACCGACAACGACGACAACCCTCAACTCATCGCGAACAGTCCGCACGTAGCTTGGATGGCCCTGGGTATGGGGGTCGTGGGCTATGTACCGTAGATGGGTGGCACCGGAATATTGTACGATGTTGTTCTTCTGCCTACGCGCTCGCTACAGGCACGCAGAGCGTGAGTCAGGCCAGACCTGAAGCGGCAGTTTGGTGTAGAAACCAAGAAAATGAAGAAAAAAAAAATGCAACGCCTTGCACCATACGCAACTCCGTCCTCTTCGTGAGTCCGTCCCATTCGTGGGTCCGCGACAGGCACAAGGCGCAGACATGGCAAGACATGAATTGGAAACAGGTTGTTCATGCGCACCTGTTCTTGTTCACGCTGCTGTCGCTCTCTTGCCAATACGGCCGGGTCCTCGAGCTTCCACACCGCCTGCAATACCAGCAGCAGTCGCGGTGCAAATTGGGACGGGACGGTGTTAAAAATGCCGAATGACCATGAACAACTGCACTCACGTAGAACGGCACGGCCTCCGCGAATATCTGCCGCGACGTCCCGTTGAAAGAGGACCAAAACTAGAGACAAAAACATGAAAAACGAACCGTAACCCAAAAGATCAACAGCGGGAGAGAAGACAGAGCGTCGAGAGCACCAGCGGTTTTCGGGTGGTTCAAGAGCACCACCGAGATACAGCCGGAAGAAGAACAATATAACTCACGGGAGACTGAAACACATCAAAAGCTCCGCCCATGGTACGTATTGTGTGTTGATTCGGTTTCGATCAAGGAGCGGAGGGCAGCGAACTCTGCAGCGCAAACGGCGTACTTCAAACGTGCTCGTCTTGTCATCGGTCGCTTCCAAATCGCTGCCTCCTCCGAACCCAGCTACAACCATCCTCACAGAGGAAGAACAATTCGACCCGGACGTGTTCTCGCGCAAAGCACATGAGACAACAACAATCCCCAAGAGGGAGCCCACCATACCACCAACACCGCCACCACAACCACCAACAAACACGGACGACGACGAGACAACAAACAGGCAGCACCCGGCAACGGGAGCCAAAAACACAACCAAGGCAAAAAAAAAAAAAAAGACTACTACAGTAGAATTTTCCAACGTGGACCAAAACATCCGTACCCACAACGCAAGCGTCACAGCAGTCCCAAAAAAAATATCACAACGCACCTGGTCCCCCTTGTCCTCGAGTCGCACCCCGACGCCAGGCAGCAGCTCTTCTCTCACGTGGTCGCAGGCCGCCAGCACCCCCTTCGTGTCCCCCGCGCGGCCGCACCCCCTCACCTTGTCGCGGAACTCCGAGAGGACGTCGAGAACCGGTCCCAGGATCGCTTCCCGAGAGGCCTCGCCCCCCTCCCCGCTGGCGTCCCCGCCGACGCCTGCGTCTCCCACCTGGGAGAAGCCTAGCGCTGGGCCGGGAGACGCCAGCCCGAAAACCTGCGAATTACGTAGGGGGGGGGGGGGGGGGGGCGTGGCGGTGCAAAAAAATAAAAAAAGAGGGTAGGCATTGCT